AATGTAACAGTGCAGAACTGAATATGGAGGCATGCATAACCTTCCTTTTAGAAGATGGCAGGAGTTGTAATTTCTAATTTTTGTGCAATTAGATTAAATCATAAAGCAACAACTAAGAAAAAAAAAAAAAGATGTCCCTTGGGGCCAGGTTTAGTGGGCTCACACCCATAATCTCAGCACTTTGGAAAGCCAAGGTGGAAGGATCGCTTGAGGCCAGGAATTTGAGACCAGTATGGGCAACACAGCAAGATCCTGTCTCTATAAAAAATTAAAAAGTTAAAAGTTAGCCAGTTGTGGTGGCATGTACCTGTATTCATAGCTACTTAGGAGGCTAAGATGGGAGGATCAGTTGAGCCCAAGCATTTGAGGCTGCAGTGAGCTATGATTAGGCCATTGCATTCCAGCCTGGGTGAGAGTGAGACACCGTCTCTAAAAAAAATAAAAATAAAAAGATGTCACTTGGGTAGTTTGACATTTATTTTTCCTTTCTAATCATTTTTCCAAGTTTGGGCAGAAAAACATACTGCTACTATGTTTGGTATCTCATTGAATTTATAGATAAATTTGGAAAATTTAATGTCTTTTTCATCTGGAGTCTTATGTAGGAAAAAATTATGTTATTTCATTTAAATCTTTTTATGGTGTTCAGTAGAGTTTTATTAATAATATAGGTCCTTCATATTTATTTATCACTCTATTTCTGGTTGTTTATTTGCCATTTTGAATCAGAACTTTGCTTTATTGTGTTGAAACCTAGCAAACAGTGCTCTTTTTTGCAGTAACATTTTCTTCTTTCTTTACTCTTGGACCATGTGCATGGGGGTGGGGTGGGGAGGGCAAAACATATGTTTCAGGTGTGGCCAATTAGAGAAAAACATTCCTCTGGCCACAGTGATTGCTCCAAGAATGGAAAATGATCCAAGTTGGGCTGATTAAAGTGAATCCTGTGACAAATGTAAGAGCAACTGAAGAAATCTACTCTTGTTTTCCTGCTCAAGCTGAACATGGGCAAATGAGGACCTGGCACTCCTAGCTCTCATCCTGCCACCACATGGAGCCTGAAAATAAAATCAAAAGGAAAGGGAGGACAGCTGAGAGCTGGAGATAATGCCAGGTACTGTTGACATCATCTGAAACCTTGAATCCAGCTGTGTAGTCCTCCCCCGAAGGGTAGCCAATAAATTCTGTTTTGGTAAAACCAACTAGGATTGTGTTCTGTGGTCCTTTACCATGGAAAAGTTCCTAAGTACATGTTATGAATTAACCATAAACACTCCATTTTAGTTCACAAGTTTTATCCTACAATGTCTAAAATATATCCTACTCTATTAAGAACAGTTTTTTTTTTGTTTATTGGTTTGTTTTGAGTCAGTTTTACTATGTCGCCCTTGGTAGAGTGATATGGTGTCACAGCTCACAGCAACCTCTAGCTCTTGGGCATAAGTGATTCTCTTGCCTCAGCCTCTCAAGTAGCTGGGACTATAGGCGCCCGTCACAATGTCCGGCTATTTTTTTATTGCAGTTTGGCCAGGGCCAGGTTCGAACCCGCCACCCTCAGTATATGGGGCCAGCACACTACTCACTGAGCCACAGGTGCTGTCACTATTAAGAATAGTTTTAAAATTAAGAATGGATACTGGATGTTATCAAATGCTTCTTTTGGCATCTTTAGAGGTTATTCTGTTTATTTTTCTTTTGAACTATTAATATACACATTATTTTAATGGACTTCTTGATATTTTTGTTTTGTTCACTGCTATTTCCTGAGTACAGTACTAAGCATATGGTAGGCCCTCAATAGCATATTCTTTGAATGTTTTAAAAGTTTTCTTTATTTTGATTACTAAGAGCAGTCTCTCCTTTTTTAGCTTGGTCTAAGACAAGTTTTGGTATCAGTGCTATACTAGACATAAATTCTACATAAATTCCTCTTTCTCAGTGCAATTAGAGCATTCACTTTAAAAAACACTGGAATTATCTATCTTTGATCACTTCAAAATGTTCTCCTCTACAATCACAAATTCTGTAAACTTTTAGGGAGATAGCTGCTTGATAGTTTTCTCAGTCTCTTTTTTCTTAGGTAAACTTTGTTAATTTATGTTTTTCTAGAAAATATTAGGTTTTTAGGGCGGTGCCTGTGGCTCAGTGGGTAGGGCGACGGCCGCAGGGTGGTGCCACAAACTCAGCCCCCAGCCAAACTGCAACAAAAAAATAGCCAGGCATTGTGGCAGGCACCTGTAGTCCCAGCTACTCCGGAGGCTGAGGCAAAAGAATCACCTAAGCCCAAAAGCTGGAGGTTGCTGTGAGCTGTGTGACACCACAACACTCTCTACCAAGGGTGATAAAGTGAGACTCTGTCTCTACCAAAAAAAAAAAAGAAAATATTAGGTTTTCACTTTATTTATACAAACTTTCTAATTCTTTTTATTTCCTCTGTATTAGTATTTGTTTTTCTTTCTTATTTTTAATTTTTACGCTGCAATATTTCAAACTTGTTTTAGGTTGTCTGGACAAGAGTTACATTCACCAAATTTAATCTGTGCCAAGTCAGATATGCAAGGTCACTGATACGCAAGGTCACAGATAGGCAAGCAAATATTCTGTTAGGGATGAGGTAAACATGAAAAGAACTTTAAGGATTTTTTTTGAAGTCTGTTTTTGGAAACAACTAAGAAGAGAGACAAAAGGCAGTTCAGTGGAGACTTTAAGCCAGTGACAGCAGTGTGCTCATTTCCCCCTCTGATGTATGGATGACCTGAGTTTCTCCTCAGTGCAACTCACACTGAGTGATTTGGGTTAAATAAATTAAGGATTTGCAAATAGTTTAGAATTATATTGTATCAGTCTAAATCACAGCAATAACATGGAGACACAACTGGTTAATCTTTGGAAAAATTTAAAATCAGAATAACCAATGATATTCACCAAAAGAAAGACTCTTCATTTCACTTTTATTCTCTTATGGGGTTCAGAAAATTCTCCCAAAATAGGCATATAGGACAACACTTCAATCTTGCTACATTAAGTATACTCCTTTTGCAAGGAGCCGGGTAGAACATCAGTACACATGTATAAATAACTGTTGTTTGAATGGAAAAATAGAATTTTTAAAAAGAGATGCAAAAAAGTGAAAATTATCTGAAGTTGCAGTCCATCCCTTCACAGCTATAAATTACTCAATCAGTTGTTAATGTCATTATAATACTGAGCTGGATCCAAAATCGGCCATTATTAACTAATGTCCTTTTTACCTGGACTCTTATCTAGGAATAAATTATATTATTTTATTTAAATCCCTTTATGGTGCTCAACAGAGTTTTAGTAACAATATAGGTTCTTCATATTTATTTGAGTATGACTGGAACAGGCGGAATTTAATCTATCTTTTCAATACTGGGCTTTTAGTTTATGCATCAATACCAGAAGAAAGACTAGGGCACTTTGTAGCAGGAATCCTATCCAACTTGACTCTGGAATAATTTGTTCTAGGTGAATCAATTACTCTCAGTAAAAACAAGAAGGGTAGTTTCTTCCTTGCCAATTTTCTGTCAAAAATAATCTAGAAAGATAAAGGAAGAATAAGAATGTTTACTTTTATATCAGCCTCACATTCTCTGGAATCTACTCTGATTATGATATATGCTTTGCTCTTTAAGTACCATATTTGAAGACAAATTCTTTAAATTGAACAAATAGCATGAAATATTATTATTATTTTGAAATAGAATCTTACTCTGTCATCTTGGGTAGAGGGCTGTGGCATCATCATAACTCACTGCAACTTCAAATTCTTGGGCTCAAGCAATCCTCTTGTGTCAGCCTCCGGAGTAGCTGGGACTACAGATGCCTGCCACAATGCCCAGTTAGTTTTTCTACTGGTTAGTAGAGATGGGGGGTCTTGCTCTTGCTCAGGCTGATATTGAACTTCTGAGCCCAAGTGTTCCACCCACCTCAGTATCCCAGAGTACTAGGATTACAGGTGTGAGTCACTATACCAAGCCAAATGTTAAATATTTTTAATAATTTTAAGAAGTAACTCTCTAACTTTTACCAAAATCTTTTTGTTATATCCTGTCAAATATGTATAAGCCTAAGATATTAATAGCCATGTCTTCATTAAGCGATAGAGCCTCTGAGTTAAATGGAAATATCTAAAAAAAAAAAAAAGAAAGAAAAGAAAAAATCCTCATCATTTTTCTGGGGCAAAAAAAAAAAAAGATTAACAATGATCCATGCAATTAAATCACGTATTACACATATTTGGCACAAAGAACTCTATTCATAGATACAAAATTTAATGTAATTAATGAGTTTTGTTACAACTGATTTCTTGAATTTTTTCTATCTTTTTACTTGGACTCTTAAAAGTAAGCTGAAAGTTTTAAATAGGTTTTTCTCAAACTCTCCCTCCCTTCACCACATATCCTTTTGTTTTATGTCTTTATACGCCTCACCTTAGTCTTTCCATTTATCATGACAATCTTCTTTTGTTTGAGTCTCACTCCATCACCCTGGGGTTGAATATCATGGCATCATCATAGCTCACAGCAACCTCAAACTTTTTGGGCTCAAGTGATCCCCATGCCTCAAGTTTCCTGAGTAGCTGGGACAAAAGGTGCCCACCACAAAGCCTGGCTAATTTTTCTATTTATAGTAGAGATGAGGGTCTCACTCTTGCTCAGACTGCTCTCGAACGCCTGAGCTCAAGCAATCCATCTCGGCCTCCCAGAGTGCTAGGATTACAGGCATGAGCCACTGCACCTGACCAACAATCTTCTCTTGCTCCAATTACATTCCATACAGTACTTTACCCCTTTTTCAAAATACACTTGTATTTATTCTCTTCTTCCTTTTTTTGACTTGACAAAACATTTTTGCATTTTTTTCTCCTGCTATCAGTGGGTAAGTGTAATTAGATTTAGTATTTTGAAGGCTCACTCACATGTAGGCCACTACACATGAGAATATTTTAGTATTTTTAAATGTAGACAGGTACTTACCCACAGTCCCTTCTGTGCCATCCGTTTCTTTTGGTATATAATGTGCAGAAAGATCACTCTGAAGGACTTCATCAGATGTGGCTCTGGCTAAAGCAGCGGCCAAAAAGGAAGGGCAATTACTGAAAGAAAAAATTTGAAGGCTACTTTCAGCAAGAGAATAAGGAAGTAAACATTTACTATTATTAATAATTAAATATCAATTATATCATATTGTCTCAAAACAAAACTATACCTTTAAATAATATTTCACAAATACTTCTAGACTGGCTTGGCGCCTGTGGCTCAAGCGGCTAAGGCACCAGCCACATACACCTAAGGTGGCGGGTTCGAATCCCCAGCCCAGGCCCGCCAAACAACGATGGCTGCAACCAAAAAATGGCCAGGCGTTGTGGCGGGCGCCTGTGGTCCCAGCTACTTGGGAGGCTGAGGCAGGAGACTCGCTTGAGCCCAGGAGTTGGAGGTTGCTGTGAGCGTGATACCATGGCACTCTACCCAGGGGGACAGCTTGAGGCTCCGTCTCAAAAAAAAAAAAAAAAAATACTTCTAGACTGAAAATTATGTGGTTGGCACTCTGGGGACTGGGTATATATTGGCAGACCTGGCCCCTGATCTTGTGGGGCTTACAATCCAGTTAGGGAAATAAAAGAAAAACAAGTAAAGAAATAAGACAGAACTTAAAAGTGGGTAAGTTTTATAAAGGAAGCAAACAGGATACAGTGACAGAAAAGAATAGAAATAGCATATGTACAGACCTTTTTGAGAGATTGGTATATTCAAGGAACTGAAAGAACCCCAGAGGAAATGATGCATAGTGGGTGAGGGGAAATGTGGCAGGGAATAAAGTCAGAAGAACAGGCAAAGGCCAGTTACATGGCAAAGAATCTGGATTCCAGTCCAAGTGTAATGAGAATTCATGCAAGATTGTGAGACAGAGAGTATCACAGTATCACACTACTGCATCCACCTAGACACAAAGTCAACATACCTCACCCAACTGACACAGTAAGACCCATACATACAAATAAAGTATTTTCCTATAAAACCTACTCCGAAAAATTAGAAGAGCCAACTGTTCCACCAGATGCACAGAAATCAACATCAAACATGAACAAGCAAAGGAACATGAAACCTCCAATAAAATCACAAAAACCTTCCAGCAACAGACTCTAATCAAAAGGAAATATATAGGGCGGTGCCTGTGGCTCAAAGGAGTAGGCCCTGTATGCTGGAGGTGGTGAGTTCAAGCCCAGCTCCAGCCAAAAACTGCAAGAAAAAAAAAAAAGGAAATATATAAAGTGCCAAAAACAGAATTCAAAATAATACTTTTTTTTTTTTTTTTGAGACAGAGTCTCAAGCTGTTTCCCTGGGTAGAGTGCTGTGGCACTATAGCTCACAGCAACCTCCAAGTCCTGGGCTCTAGCTATCCTCTTGCCTAGTTTTTCTTTTTTTAGTAGAGACGGGGTCTCACTATTTGCTCAGGGTTTTTTGGAAATCCTTAGCTCAAGCTATCCTCCCACCTTGGCCTCCCAGAGTGCTTGGATTACAGGCGTAAGCCACCGCACTGGGCCAATAATTCTTTGAAACTTAAGATCGAGTCTTGCTATATTGCTCAGGCTGGAGTGCAACGGCTATTCACAATCACTATCCTACTACTAATAAGCTTGACAGTTTTGAGCTATTGTGTTTTTGACCTGATCTGGTTCACCCCTCCTTAACCTAATGGTCCCTCACTAGCTGGAGTCACCATACTGATGCCAAACCTAGTGAGGACAGCTAATGGCATAGCACTTTATAGCTAAGAACTTCTGGACTCAAGTGAACCTCCTATCTCAGCTTCCCAAGTACCTGAGACTGTAGGCACATGCCAGCATATTTGGCTCAAAATAATAATCTTAAGGAAACTCAGTGAGATACAAGAGAATAAAGATAGACAATTCAATAAAATTGGGAAAACAATTATGATTTGAATGAGAAATTCAACAAAAAGACAGATACCATAAAAAAAGAATCAAACAGATATCTTACAGCTGGATAATTCAATGAATGAAATGAAAAATATAACTGAGAGTTTCAACAACAGATTAGACAAGCAAAAGAAAGGATTTCCCGACAAATATTTTGAAATAACTCACATAGACAAAGAAAGGAAGAAAGGGAGGGAAAGGCAAGGAAAGGAAGAAAAACGAAAAGGAATGAATAAAGGCTATAGAATTTATGGGATACAATTAAGTAAACAATTATTCATATAATATTGGTGTTCCAGAAGGAGAAGGAACAGAAAAATTCCCAAGTCTCAGGAGAGAAAAGGACATCCAGATCCAGGAAGCTCAAAGTGCCTAAATAGATTCAATTCAAACAGGTCCTCTCTGAGATACATTATAGTCAAACTGTCAACAGTCAAAGATAATTCTAAAAACAACAAGAGAAAAGTCTCAAGTCACATATAAAGGAATTTCCATTAGACTAACAGCACTCTTCTCAATGGAAACCTTACAGGCCAGGAAAGAATTGGTTGATATATTCAAAGAATGGAAAGAAGAAGAAGAAACACTGATAGCCAAGAATAATATACTTGGCAAATCTATTTTTCAAAAGTGAAAAAACAAAATCTTTTTCAAACAATCAAAAATTAAAGGAATTCACCACCACCAGACCAATTCTGCAAGAAATTAAGGGGGCAGTACTTGTGACTCAGTGGGTAGGTGCTGGCTCCATAGACCAAGGGTGGCAGGTTCAAAGCCAGCCCCAGCCAAACTGCAACAAAAAATAGCAGGGCATTGTGGTGGGGGCCTGTAGTCCCAGCTACTTGGGAGGCTGAGGCAAGAGAATAGCCTAAGCCCAAGAGCTGGAGGTTGCTATGAGCTGTGACGCTATGGCACTCTACTGAGGGTGTTAAAGTAAGACTCTGTCTCTAAAAAAAAAAAAAGAAAAGAAAATCATTAAGGGACTTTAAATCTTGAAGAAAAGAGAATATAGCCATTGTGGGATGAATTCCCACATGAAATTAGCTAAATGAAATGTGCTTTTTTAATTCCAGAAACTGAGGGAAAAGACTTGTAAGTATTGTGCATTCTTGTCGAGGCCTAGCAACCTGGGAGAGCATGGCAGGGCCTACAGGCAAAGTGGTAACAACCTCCTGCATGGAACTCTGAACATGCAGTCAGCCAGCCTGCCAGATGTGGCCCATCTGTGCAGGAGACACGGCTCAAAGGTTGATGGAGTGAAAAACTCCACTGTAAAAGCAAGTGGCTTCCAAAACCACAAGAAAACAGAGTCCTTAAGCCTATTTCTTAGAAACTTAATTGAGTCCATTGAAGAAAAAGTTTTACTTCCGTTTGTTTTGACCTTTAACTTTGACAATGGAAGTCAGATAATGTAGGCTTAGGTCTTTAGAGAGGAACAGCCTGAGGCTAGTCTTAAGATGGTTATCTTACTTTCCTGGACTTTGTCTTTTTTTAGTTTAAGATAAGAATAGAGAATGTTAAGATTATTGATCAATGGGGTGTACATGATTAATTTCCTATAAAAGGTGATCATGAATAAAGACATTTTTCTACTGTCACCCAGAGTAGTAGTCATTTTTTGCTTTTATACAACCCCAGGAGCAAGCTTGCATCCGTGGCCAAGCCATCCTTCTCTCCCTGGGAGAAAGTACCACTCAACAAATGGTGTAGTCAACAAACCATCATAATGAAAACATGCAAAATGATAAAATTCACTAGTAGAGCCAATACACAAAAAAGGAAGAGAAAGGTATCAACAGTATCACTACAGAAAATCACATTACTGTGAAAAAACAATAAAAGAGGAAGGAAGGAATAAAAAATATATAACATGATCAGAAAACAATCAATAAATGACAGGAGTAAGTCTTCATCTATCAATAACCACCTTGAATATAAATGGATTAAGTGCCCCAATTTAGAGATATAGACTAGCTGAATGGATAAAAATACAAGACCCAATTATGTGCTGCATACAAGAAATTCACCTCACCCATAAAGAAAGGTATATACAGACTGAAAGTGAAGGGATGAGAATGGCTGGGTGCAGCAGCTCACACCTGTACTCCTAGCACTCTGGGAGGCTGAGGCAGGAGGATCCCTTGAGTTCAGGAGTTGAAGACCAGAGTGAGCAAGAGTGAGACCCTGTCTCTATCAAAAAAAAAAAAAAAAATTAGCCAGGTGTGGTGGCAGGCACTTGTAGTCCTAGCTACTACTTGGTAGGCTGAGGCAGCAGGATCCCTTGAACCAAGGAGGTTGGGGTTGCTGAGAACTAGGCACTGTAGCCTGGGCAAAAGAGTAAGAATCTGCTTCAGAAAAATTTAACTTATTATTCCTACGAAATGAAACCTTCATGAAAATCTCTAAAGATGAGTTTGAGGGAGCTTCTGGTTTGGTAAACATATCCATGTGCTGGAAGGGTGGCATACCTCAACTCCAATAGAAGCTTTGTGTTTAGGGCCTTTCCCCTTTGGGACCCTACCCTATACATCTCTCCATCATGGCTATTCATTTGTATCTTTTTGTATATACTTTCATAAACCAGTAAACATAAGGAAATGTGTCCTTGACTTTTGTGAGTCATTATATCAAATTATTGAATCTAAGGGGATAGGTTATGGGAACCCCTGACTTACAGCCAGTCAGTCAGGAGTTTGGAATTTCTAGACTTGTGATCAGCATCTAAGGTGGGGAGAGTCTTTTCTTTTGAAACAAGAGTCTCCCTCTGTTGTCCAGGCTGGAGCACTGTGTTAGCCTAACTCATAGCAACCTCAGATTCCTGGGTTCAAGTGATCTCCTGCCTCAGCCTCCCAAGGAGCTAGGACTACCTGGCACCAGCCACAATGCCCAGCTAATTTTTCTTTTTGTAGAGACAGATCTCACTCTTGCTCAGGTAGGTCTCAAACTCCTAAACTCAAGCAATCCTCCTACTTCAGCTACCCAGAGTGCTAGGATTACAGGCATGAGCCATCACACCCAGCCTTGGTAGGGACAGTCTTGTGAGACTGAGCCCTTCATGTGCAGGGTCTGCTCTAACTCCAAGCAGCTAGTGTCAGAATTAAAGTAAATTGCAGGACACCTAGTTGATGTCTTGAGAGAACTACAGAATTAGTTGG